AAATGTGAAATTTATATATAGTATTTAGGTGCTTCCGATCTATGCAATAACCACTTTACATGTATGTTGCAATAGTGGCTGGCGAGCGATGAGCCTATGAAAACGATTGGTTATTTTGTAATAAAAGTTGGACAAAAAGTTGGACAATGACCATTTTTGCTTGTAGTGCCTGACCTAGTTAATAGATTGTTCTCCAATTTGGTACACCGACGTCTTCCACATGTGGTAATGGATGATAATGATTTCGCGGAGTTTTGGATGGCTACAGAAATTTAGGCTGTTATATCAGATTATATGCTCCACAATACCATATACTATAATGTGCAATTCCTTTCAGATTCGATGTAGAAAACTTTTCCAAGTCACAATTGTCCAAACATTCATCTCCGATGTAAACGCTATAAAAAACAATCATTTTGCACTTTACCCGGTATCGATGGACCACTGCATTGATGAGATATTAAAGAAACATTGTAGACACCTTGTCGTTATCGTTTTGTATCTGGCTGGGAGCCAATGGCCAGATTGTAGACGAATCGAAAAGTGGAAGAGAGTTGTCCTTTAATCATAAAGTGTTCTAACAATATATATACGTATACAAAATGATGGTATTGTAGTACTAAGGATATTGGTGTGCTACTATATAAATGTCACGTGTTGAATGCTTGATCCTGCGACAACCTGTGAAGTTTTTTCAAAAAAGAGTTTTATTGAGTTTGTGTAAAATATTACCGAGACTCGAACGGGGACCATACATATGCTAAGCTAGAATGATGGCCACTAACACATAACATACATAATGGTGTTAGGATCCATATCCAAAAGCTGAGGGCAACCACCACCTTAATTGGTAGTTGAGGTAAAGTAAGTCTATATGATTGACTTGCCTTATATAGATTTTTTTTCTTTTTGACTCGGTGGAATGACTCGGATCCATGTTATGTAAGATTCATTAACCATAAATAGCATAGTTTAGTGGCAGTGGAAGCTTCTTCAAAGAGTATAAAAAGGGATTATTTACTTAAATGCTCCCATGTCCATTTACTTTTTTATTTCACTCACTCAACTATGTCCAGAATCCCATCCATTCCACTTCTATCGCGTACTCATAGCATGCCAAACCTTTGGACCTTTTGGGAGCATGTGCAGAGCACTGATGCAGCTAGCAGGTAATAGGCAATATTTATTAAGATTATCTTGATGCTAATGTACATGGTTACTAGATACCTCTTTGATCAAGCGGTTTTCTATACTGAGGAATCTGGTTATGTCGTTGAATGCCGTAATGGAACCCCAATGCGTCTTGGTCGTTCTGGTGCTCGTGGTCTGGTTTG